TCCTCTCCTTCCTGCCCTGGTTGTCTCTTCTTCTTTCTCTGTTCCCCTTTCCTTTCCTTTAATCCCAGTCTGAATCTCCCCCCGCCCCCACCCTGCCCCCACAACATCTCTCTACTTTTCTTCTTTTTGCCTTCCTTGTGGTCTCTACCTCTGTGCTTTCAGTGTCCCTTTGCCTCCATGCTTCTTAACCTTGGCTTGGAACATTATAATCACTGAAAAAGCTTTGTGTAAAAAAAAAAAAAAAAAAATCATAATGACCTGGCTGAACCCTAGACCAATTAAATCAGGGTTTATGGGAGTGAAAGTCAGGCATCAGTATACTTTAAAAGCTCCCCAGTTGATTCCCATGTGTTTCTGGTTGGAACACGTTTGTTGTGCAAAGACAGCCTTATGTTGCTTTGGCTTATTAAGGATATCTCCAGGTGGTTGGTTTACTTGGTATGCTTCCGTCTTGCATTTGGTGAAATGCGTTTCCTCTGGTGCTAGTTTCCAGTGTTGGGTCCTGTGGTCTTTGCCCTTCTTTCAAGGTCATAAAGAGTTCAGGTCAGAAATGGAGAGACGAGACTGGGCTTTGGTCAGTATGCGGGTAGCATAGGGGCTCAGGGAGGGCCTCAAGGAACTCTGTATTCTTGGCCTTATATAATGTTGGCCTAAATGCAGAGAGACAATAAAGGTATAACTATGGGCTGGAACCTCGTTTGAGACACTTGAATAGAAGGCTGGCTTGGGTTAGGGTCAGACAGCATCGAATGGGATAAATACCCTTCTGGAATGTCAGCCGTCCTGTTGGGGAGAAGGGATGCAGATAGCATGTCCTTACCGGCAGTCTCTTCAAATAACAGAGAGTAAAGGCATTTGTTTCACTTAGATGACACCCCAGAAGAAAACCAAGCATTTGCTTAGTGCACTCAAATCACTAGCATTTGGTCAGGCAGAGAAAGAAGCAACAGATCCAGAAAATCTCTTGGAAACACTGTGTAGTGGGCTGATACTGTGGGGATTTTGCCAGGCTGAGTGTGTGGATCTTGCTAAACGCTCTAAAGGGCTAGGCACTTGGTGTGTAGTTTTCCCCCACTGGATGTGTGTTCTGCCTATATAATTCAGTTGAAAAGTATCTGGTAGTCATAGGGAAACTAAAGTCAAAAGGTACTAGGAAATGATCATGGAACTTTCTCTACCAGTCTACAGGGATGGAATACAGGGACTCAAATACTATGGACCCACTAGGCAGATATGTCCTCCAACTCGGAGTCCAGAAGAGGGCACAGTGGATAGCTTTGGCTCCTTTGACTTTGTTGTTCCATGGTGAGAGTACTAAACCAGCACAGCCCTGCTGAGCTCAGCTAATGCACCAGTAACAGTCAGTTCCTGAGACTGAGCAGGAGGACGTTGGGGTAGCAGACCTCGCAGGACAAGCTTTCCAAGGGCTGGGTAGCCTGCTTTGCCACCAGCTGGCCTACAGTTCAAAGGCAGCAGGAGGAGTTGGTGGCAGTCCCTTGTGGGGCTGAGAATTCACTTTCCTTGCTGAATTTGACCTTATCTTTAGTGAATATCTAGGGGGTACTGGTTGGTGGATACAGATCTTTTTAAGGCTTATATTACTTGAGGCATTTATTTCCATGTATTCATTCAGCTAGTTCTGTTTGAGGATGGCTTGGCGAAGCCTAATGGTTCTCAACTCTAGCTGACCTGGAGCATTATCAACGTTTTTTTGTTTGTTTGTTTTTAAAGATGGTGCCCAGGATCTATCCCCAAAGTTTCTGATTTGGTTGGTCTGGGGTGGGTGTCTTATTTCAAAGCAATTGGTGGTGGTTGTTTTTAAAGATCCCCAATTCTAATGTGAACCAGGGATGAGGACACTGGTAAGGTGGAAAGCACACGCGGGGGCCCAGGACAAAGGGGTTCCGGGCTCTAGAATTCAGGTTTGCCGCTCATAGATGTGGGACTATGGAAACATGGGGCTGCTCCTCTGTAAAGTGAGGGGTGGGTTAGATAGAAGTCTTCAGTGGACATCAGAATTCACTGGGGAGCCTGAAAATGATGTAGAAGCTCTAGGAAGGCTCAAGTCGCCTTTGTTGAGGGGTGGGAAAGGGCTGGGGGGCTCAATGGGTGATGTTGGGCCACTGGACAGGCAGGCTCAGAGGTCCCTGCAGGCTAGAAAGTCTAGGACCCTGTGATTTCAAAAAGCAGCACCTTGCTTGTGTGGGGACCCAGACATCTAGCAAGTCCTGGTCCTCAAAGCACTAAAACATGGTTGGCACTTGTGGGATACATGGAGGACATGGGGGCACGGAGAGAGCAAGGGACAGGCAGCTAGAAAACAATGCGGGTCTAAGATGAAAAACCACTGAAGTCGGTTAATAAGGAGGCAGGAAAGCTGAGGGGTGACGTCTACACCATGTACACATCTGCATGAGATGGTTTACTGGAAGACAATGAGTTCCCCATTTCCACTGAGAGCTCTTAAGGATCTAAGTTGTAACAGGAGCAGAGGAAGAGGCTCCCGCTGAGAAGGGTAGGACCGTCTTCAGAACACTGTTTTTAATAGCCTTCCAAAGGAGCTTATGGGTTTTTTCCCCTATAAGACCTTAGAAATAAAACTTTTTTAAAAAGTAGAGGGAAAAGGTCTGTTTTTCCTCCATATGTCAAGATGTTTCTGCTGACCCAATATCAGAAGAACATGGTGAAACATTTGTTTTGACATTTATTTTTTTCAGGAACATGGATGGCTAAGTTGTTTTTCCATTCTTCTCTCTCCCCTGGTCTGCCTCTGCAACAGTTTTTGTGAGGCGAGTGGATGAAGGCTGGAGGTGCTGTGGTTGGGGAGAAAATTTCTCTCTGTAGGCATGAAAGCTCCATTTCTGGACTGCTTGGATTCCAGCCACAGCATCACAGACCAAACCAGGGGGTTGTTGGCAAATCACTCCATCCCGTAGAGGTCTCAGTGTCCATATCTGGAGAAAATGAAGGAGCTATTTTAGGTGATCCCTGAGGTCCCTTCTAGCTCTGACCTGTACTCAGAAATAAATGAGCTAATTACTTCCAGGAGATGAAACCTAGAGACATGAGAACAAGGTGTTGGGATTAAACAGGAGAGCAAGATGTTGTAGTGGGGGTGCTGGCAAGTTGCCCAACCTCTGGATTTCTGGTGGGTTCAGGATTATAGGGCCATCATGTATGACTGTGCAGGTTGGGCCCTATGAGGGGGCCCAGTCAAGGGGATGGGGTTAGGTTGGACTCTAGTTCCAACAGCCCTTGCCAAGCTGGGCATGCTTTGGTGGCAAACTCCCCAAGGAGGTGACATTTAAGTTTACTCTTTTTTTTTTTTTAATTTAATTTTATTATGTTATGTTAGTCACCATACAATACATCATTAGTTTTTGATGTGGTGATCCACGATTCATTGTTTTCGGATAACACCCAGTGCTACATGCAGTACGTGCCCTCCTTAATACCCACCACCAGGCCAACCCATCCCCCCACCCCCCTCTCCTCCAAAACCCTCAGTCTGTTTCTCAGAGTCCATAGTCTCTCATGGTTTGTCTCCTCCTCCGATTTCCACCCCCTTCATTTTTCCCTCCTTCTCCTAATGTCCTCCATGCTATTCCTTATGTTCCACAAGTAAGTGAAACCATATGATAATTGACTTTCTCTGCTTGACTTATTTCGCTTAGCATAATCTCCTCCAGTCCCATCCATGTTGATGTAAAAGTTGGGTATTCATCCTTTCTGATGGCTGAGTAATATTCCATTGTATATATGGATCACATCTTCTTTATCCATTCATCTGTAGAAGGGCATCTCTGCTCTTTCCACAGTTTGGCTATTGCAGACATTGCTGCTGTAAACGTTGGGGTGCATATGGCTCTTCTTTTCACTACATCTGTATCTCTGGGGTAAATACCCAGTAGTGCAATTGCTGGGTCAAAGGGTAGCTCTATTTTTAACTTTTTGAGGAACCTCCACACTGTTTTCCAAAGTGGCTGTACCAACTTGCATTCCCACCAACAGTGTAAGAGGGTTCCCCTTTCTCCACAACCTCTCCAACATTTGTTTCTTGCCTTGTCAATTTTTGCCATTCTAACTTGTGTAAGGTGGTATCTCAATGTGGTTTTGATTTGAATTTCCCTGATGGCTTATCTGTTCACGTCTTCTGCCCGTTTTTTGACTTATTTGCTTTTTGGGTGTTGAGTTTGAGAAGTTCTTTATAGATCTTGGAAATCGGACAGCTATATACAGAAGAATGAAACTCGACCATTCTCTAACACCATACACAAAGATAAACTCAAAATGGATGTAAGCTTACTCTTAATAACAACATAGGTCTATCCCTGCACGAAGTACGGGTAAAAGGATCCTTCTTAATACTGGGCTTGTCTGTCCAGGAATGTTGTCTGTCCACATCTGGCTCTCTTTCACTGCTGAGTCTCCCCAAACAAGGGGCCGTTCACACCTGTCTACACTTTGGAGACTCCTCTCTTGGCTAAGCAGAAGTCCTATCAAAAGGTAATTACAAAGGGTGTGCATTTGTGTGTGTATGTGAAATGGGTTATTGAAATCCACTAAAATCAGGAGCTATTCATCAAAAGCTGGAAATGTTGACATTCTTTTCAACCAACTCCTTTGATGCCTACAGCCTTCCAAGCAGTGAAGGCCCTGATTCATGCTCAGGACCAAGAAGAGACTGGTATTTAGGCCTCCTGTTTAAAGATGCATTATAGTGATGGAAGAGCATCGGGGGTGGGAAGAGAGAGAGACATGGAGAGATCGGCACACACTTGTGAGCATGGGCATGTGTGTAAGTGTGTGTATTTGTGGTGAGTGTGTCAGTTTGAATGAACTTCAAAATCCAGTCTAGGACTCCCCACATGCATATAACCTATCACAAGCAAGAACAATTGGGTCAAGGCCCTGTCCTCTAGCTGTGAGTTCTATACATTCCTTGACCAGGCAACTGGCCTCAAAGTTAGGTGCACTCATTCCTTTTTTTCCATGTCAGGCAGCCCATATCTGGCACATGATAGATACACCATTAACACTTTCCAGAATGATTTGGAATTTAAAAAAAGGAAGAGTCATTTCAACTATGGTAACTCTAAGAACTGCCTATCAGCTGCTATGGTTGTAGAGGGCATTCATTATCCTCAACAAAAACCTTCAAGTTCTGAGCTATAAAGACATGAAAGGCACTGGCTTTGGCATCCCAAGAAGCTGAGCCAACAGTCCTGGGGAGAGAACACAGCTTATACACAGAAGGATCCAATTAAACCCAGCATACAGCTCCGGGCTTGGTGCTGCAGACATAAAGATGAATGTAACTCCTTGCTTGAGATCTGCAGTTTGATGGCAGATAGAGACTCTTAAAGAACTAACCATAAAGCAGAAGGGTAAGTGCCTCTTATGTATAAGGTTATGTATAAAGTTTTGTGAACACATGAAGGGACCAAGTCTGTTTGGGCTGCTAAAGAAGGCCTCTCAGAAAATGTCCTTGTGAATTGGACTTCACAGGATGACTAGAAGTTTGCCAGGCAGAAAAGCAGCAGTAGAGAATTTCAGGCAAAGAGAATTAAAAGAAGACAGGACCTGTAGAAATGAATGGTGTTTGCAAAGTGGGGAGCTTAATGTAGCTGAAGCTGATGATACATAGCTGGGTAGAGTATAGAGGCCAAGAGATGAAATTAGATAATATTTATTGGGTGTTTAGCATGTATTGGGTATTGCACTAAGCACTCTACATGTTATTCATTTAATCTTCAAAGCGTATGATGTGGGTACCTTTGGACTCATTTTACTTTTGGAGAAACTGAGGCATGGTAAAATGAGTACTTAGGAAAGAAACGTTCCCAAGGTCACATAATTCATAAGGGGTGGAGCTGGGATCTGATTCTAGGCAGCCTGAAGCCAGGCCTTGTGCCCTCACCACTCTGCTGTTAGCTTGTGAATGTTCTCGAAGTCCTGAGGGTTCTTGATGGGTAGGGTTATGGAAACATGGCTTCGGGGAGAAGAAGGCATCAGAACGGGGTAAATGAAGAGGAGGTAGGTAGGGGTAGGGTAAGAAGAGGCAGGGGGACCTCCCAGGCAAGGAGGACTATTGTGATCAAAGACAGAGATGCAGGAATGAGTATGTTCCAGGGACACCAGTGTGGCCCATTGGTCCAGGCAGTGGCTCAGTTGTTCTTGGCAGAGACCAAATGAACATGTCAGTGGAAGTCCCTGAAGCATCTCTGCTCTCAAGAAAGGTCCAGGAAACTCTGTCTCTCTCTGGTCCTTTGCTTCAAACTGGCCTAGGAAGATCTAGGCTTACAAAGGAAGACGGAGGCCTGAAGGAAACTCAGAGGACAGTCTTCCCCTCCGTTCTGTGTGGTCTCAAAAATGTGTTTCCTACCAAGTGTTCCTGGGTAAGGACTGGCGCTCTTCGGCAGTGGCGTCTAATGAATCCAGCAGTGCCTTGCTCCCCATTATGAATCTCTGCGGGGTATTCAGCCTGCTGAACAGTGGAAGGTTCTAGCCGCACACATTTAAATAAGAGAGACATCAGGGCAGGGTAGCAGAGGCCAAAAGGAGATTGCTCCCCAGGTGAAATTGAATTTTCTTGGAGTTAAACTGAGATGCTGAGTTGTCTTTTTACAAACATGTTCATGGTCTTAGCTGTCACTTTCATTTAGCGAGCTTGTCATCTGTGCTCTGGCAAGCTGGCCTAAAGATGGCCTCCCCTGCCTGGGAATGCAAAGCCTCATCCCTGAAGAGCTGGGAGCCTGGGTGGTGCAGGGATTACATGAGGGACAAGCCCCAGTGAAGGTCTTGTCTGCAACTGCTGCTTCCCCTGCCAGCTTCTTCTCCCCCCAACCTGGCCAAGAAACTGTAAAATCAAAATTATAACATGATACAGGAGAATAAGCATTCTGGTTGCACAGACAAGGGGTGAGAACCTATGTGGATGTAGGTGAATTACTGAACTCTTCCGTGCCTCATTTTCCTCCCTTATAAAATGAGCTTGAAAATAGTATTGATCCTAGACTCGTGGAGACGGCTAACTGAACTAAAACATGGGAAGTGCTTAGTTCAATGCCCAGCCAGAAGTAAGTCTTCAAGAAAGGTAACTTAAGACATGTATGATAAACGAGTCCTCTGCACGGGTAAGTAGGAAGGCACTTGTATTTCATGAGACCTGCCTGGCACCATTTCTGAAATTTCATCCTTTGCAATACATTCCTCGTCTTGAGGCATTGCCTTTTTGAGTCGTCTTTATAAAGTCACATCTGCTTGGGAGGGGTCAGTTCCAATAAGAGGTGGGAAGTACGAGGTCAGTACCATGGTGGGGACATGAGTTAGGTGAGGTGGGAGAGATCCTCACAGGTGGGGAAGTGAGACAACTGGTATAATTTGGTGGAGACAAAGGCCTGGGTAGTAGCATCACAGAGAGGTGGTTGCCAGGGCAGGAAGGTGAGAACAAGGGCTGCTGGGGGCTCCCCTTGTGGATTTGCTATAGGAGAAGGCATTGAGGCTTTGAACTGAAGATACCGTTGTAGGCCTTGAGGAAAGCTCCTCAGGGAAGACTCATGGGATGAGTGTAGGGATGGTCTGGGGAGCGGGTGTGGGGGAAGGTGGCAGCAAGGCTTTCTGTCTGTTGTTATGAGCGGTAAGTGCTTCTTTCTCTTCCGTGGGTTAACAGCGATGGTGCACAGGGGCTGATTTGAACGACATCAGAGTGAAAAAGGCAGCTGGGCTGAGTTGACATCCACAGCCATGGCCAAGATAATCCAAGGCTGGGGCCTCTAGACTCTCGCCTTGAGACCTTGGACAAGTGCCTTCTGCTCCCTGGGCCTTTGTTCTTGTATAATGCAGGAGCTGGACGAAGGGCCTCCCACTGGCGACCAGGGAGCAGAGTGAACACATGTGTGCACCTCTCGATGGGCCAGGCACTTCCTGCCTCACTCAGCCTCAGGCGGAAGCTCACCCTGGTGCCCCGGCATCTGGCCTCACCAGGCACAAGAGTTTGTGACCCCAGACTGGCCTGACCAGATGATCTCTGAGGCCCCTCAGTGCTCAGCTATGCCAACAGTCTATGCTTGACTAAAAGTACCCTCAGCTCTTAATTTTTGAGTTCTTCATCTGGGGTCCTCAGAGCCAGAAGGGATCATGAGACAGAATTTTGGTGGTTCGTGAACTTGGATAGAATAGAAGAATATCATATCTTTAATTTCATCAGTTTCTAATGGAGATGTAGCACTCACTTGTGTTCCCTCACTTACGATATAGGTTAACACACCACAGTTGTAGTACCAGTAGCTGCCACTCTGTCATCTATAGAAATCATAGGTATTTCCAGTTACAGTTGCCATGCCCTTGTAGGGTCCCCTTCTTCGCAAATAAGGGCTGGGCTGGTCCCATGCTTTCACCAACTGGGAATGTAGCAAAAATGACACCATGTCAGTCTTGGACTTTGCCTTAAGGGAGTTTGGCACCTTCCTTGTCTGCTTTTAGGGAGCCCTAAGAAACCATATAAAACATCTGGCTACCCTGCAGAAGAGACCAGTGGGAGAGGCTGTGTCGATAGGCCTTGTGGAGAGAGGGAGGTCCTGGAACTACCTGGATATAGAGAGCATCCTACCATTCCAAGGTCCTAGCTGAGCTCAGCCTTCCAGCCGTCCCCTCAAGATGTGAAAGATAGCTATCTGGAATATTCTAGTCCATTCCAGCTCCCAGATGAATGTAGCCCCAACCTCCATCATGTGAAACAGAAGAACCACCCAGCCAAGCCCAGTCCATTCAGAGAATTATGGGATATGTTAAAATGGTTTTCATTTTAAGTCACCAAGTTTTGGGATGGGTTATGCAGCAAAAGGCAATTACAATAGAACCTTTTTAGTTTTACTGTACAGAACCTAAATTGAATCCCAAAATGTGCATAATCCATTTGATCTCCCACATTCACAAGTGTTTGATGTCCTTCCTGAGCCAGCAGGGTGTGCCTACCACTCAGGATTTCCAAAATGAAGACATGATGACAAAGTTCACAGTGGACTATTGGTTGGCAGCTACTCTTGAAGCCCAGCTGTCGTGCTGTTCAATGTGAGGAGTGCCTGGAACTCCTAAGACCTGGATACTTACCCCTTTCTTGAAGAAACAGACCCTTGGCAGCTAGGCTGTACCCTGACTTTGACCAGGAAAGCCTCTTAGAGGAGAGAAGACTTGAGCCTCACTTGGAAGCAAGGGCAAAATGGAGTGGTTGAGACAAGAAAGAAAGATACTTACAGTAGAAGAGCTATGAGCAAATTCCCAGATCAAAGCCATGCTTGTCAGAGTTCAATAAACTCTCTTTGGAGTAGAGGATTTGTGTTGGCCAGTAGAGAGCTTGCGTGGCGTTAGATCTTAGGGGTCTCAGGTGGTAGATTTTTTTAGTGTTTTCTATTGGTAGAGGAAGCAATGGAAGGTTGGGACAGTTGAAATTTAATAAGTATTGAGTGGGTGCCCAATTTCTATTCTTAAAATCTGGACTATTCTCTCTCTCCTCCTGTCTGTGTTGAGCCATGAAGTCACTCTTGGGATCTTGGAGCCCCAACTTTCCTTCTGGAATCCCAGAATGTCCTTTGGGGGGGTGAATACAGGGGGTGGGGCCCAAGGACAGAGGATGCCACCACTCCCTTCCCAAGGCAATGGTGTGCCACCATCAGGGACATACAGTTCAGTGGGCTCTTGCTCTGATCTGCCTGTGAAATTTTCTCTAGCAACTCCTTATCTGAGAAAGCTATGGAAAGGCTGGGGGTAATATGGATGAGAGCTTCCATGAGGAGCATGAAAAGGAAGCAAAGAGTGTGTGCATGCAAACATGATTTGGATCTTATTTTGTTTCTCAAGTATTGGCTTGCTCTGGGCTGTAGATTTTAGTAGGTGACAGTAATTGCAAAATTTGCAAGATGTTAGCAGTTTCGTTTTGTTTAGAAATTCTGGCTTGTCCTTTTCCTGTCCTTTGCTGTTTCTGTATTCATTCATTCATTCTTCATTCATTCCTCCTATGTTGAATGAACCCCTATGTAAAATTTATTGGGTTGACCAGAAAGTCAATCTCTTGCTCAGCCCGGAAGGAGGAAGAAACACAGAGTTAGAGTGGGAGGAGTAGGCAGAGTTGCTTTAGGCTTTGCAGGAAAATATGTGTGATTCTATTTCTAATTGCCTCCGGGGCCAGTCTGAGTGGAATTTGCCCTTTTAAAATGAGGCTTGTCTGTAATTTAGAGAACCTTGAGGGAGGTTCTCTCCTGCAGTCTAAAGTTATCCTTGAGGTCTGACATCAGCAAGAGGCAAATTTTATCTGGGGAAACAAGCCGCTCATCCGAAGGAGATAACAGCTGTGAGAAAAATTCCCCCAATGCTGGTCCTGTTGACTTATGTTTCAAAGGAGAACAATTTCAACATGGAGTTGCACTTTCCCTCGAGCTGCTGATAGAATAAAATGGCTGTAAGCTGCAAAAACTCTTTCAATATGGCATGTATTAAACCTTTCAGAGGTAGTGCTTTGATTTTTAATTTTACGCTCTTGGCAGGCAATCAGGGTCTTTAATCGAATGGAGGCCAGAGGGAGAATGTTTCAAAACAGTGAGGATCTTATCATAGTGTGCAATTAATGAATAATTATTAAAACCCCGAAATAGCTGGAAGAGAACGCGAGAGGTGGCAGAGCAATTCTCTGGTTTTAGGCCTATAATGAAATCTCCAGAGAGGAGAAATAGGATATACAGTTCCATGCAATTAAATCTTCCCCTGCCCTCCCCCCAAGATTAGCCATTTAAAGAGAAAAATCATGCCCACCACTTAAAAAGAAGTAAAAGTCACTTGCTGACAAGGAGGCAGTTGAGTTTAAGTATAATCACCTGCTGAAAATAAAACTAATAAGGACAACAATGAAACCCCTGCTTGAAATCAGTTTCTGCAAGTGGGCAGCAGAGTCGGGGCGTGTTGGGGGCCCCAGTTAGACCCGTTAAATTGTTGCACAGATTCACTGCGTGAGCCACACATGTCCCGCCTCTCACACAGGGAGCCCCCGCGCTCGTCTTCTGGACACAGGGTCTCCAGGCTTCTATCATTTCCAGGCCCAATTTCGTCAGCTCCTTGCAGTCAGGATCTCTCCTGTGTAGGTCTCTGTCCCACTGTTTTGCCGCAGCTCTAGAAGATCCTGTCATCTGTCAAAGGGCTGTCTACGGTTCACACGCCAGCCTGCCGAGCAGTCCTGTCTCCGGCTGTCAGTCACGCACGCGGGCTACCGCCTAAGCTGGTGCAAATGACCACCGCTCCTCCGCACGCCTCCCACCGGAAAACCCGCGCGGCATGCACGCAGCGGGACCAGCCACTCGGCTGCCCCGGAGCCCCTGCTGGGGCGCGGGAGCGTCTGGGGTCAGCTGCGCAGCTGGGGCGGTGCCGGAGGGGAGAGGGTGGCATCGATGGACACTTGAGATGGCATTTTCCCCGCATGGGGTGGCTCGTTACTGAGCGCGGCGGTGCAGACCTGGGTTTTCCTGCTTGATCTCTCAGCAGCATTTCAGGAGGCCCTGTCAGCATCAAGGGGCCAAATAGACCTTGACAATAAACAGGTGGAGAGACAAATAAGCAAGGGTAGGGGGTGCTGTTGTTTAGGGAGCCAAGAGAGGATCCCCCCCCCACCCAGTGTGCCACATGGTACAAAAGTGCCTGGGATGCTTTATTTGAAATTCGGCTGTGAGGGCACAGGGTAGCAGATAATGGATTTGAGGTCAGATGTGCTGTACTCTGCCCAGATGATCGGAATGGAGGTGCAAGGGGAGGGGTTCCTTTTTCCTCATTGTTAGCTGCATCCCTCCCCCAGTTTGTCAGGCCAAGCACTTTCTCTGGTCAGGATACTAAGAGCCACTCTTCACTGAGCACTTAGTATGTGCCGAGCACTGTGCTATGGGCTTCATGGACATTAGCTCATGGAAAGCTTTGAGAACAATGCTAGTCTCCTGGTTGTTACAGATGGGAAAAGAGCTTAGAGAGGTGAAGTCACTTGTATAAAATCCTGTAGTTAGGGACCAAGGGGTGCAACTGGATTTGGAACCTGGGTTCAGTTTAACTTCTAACTCAGTATTCTTAATCACTATTCTAGATGGCTTGTCTGGTGGGTTCAGCCTGCCCCTTGCAGCCTCCCTCCAGCAGGGAGAGCTCCTGGGGCATTGAATGTGAGCCAGCTCTGGGCTCCTTATAGTGATTTTACTTGTTCCCCTCATCCTAGGTCACACTCTCTGCAGCCCCCTCCTAGCTGGGGCCCCGCTGCTACTCTCTGCTAACGTACCCTCTGTTCTCGATCTGGCAGGGACACCCTCAAAACCACTCTGCTGGGTTCTGTTTCCTTGTTCTATAGCTCCATCCCTTCCCCTGTTCCTCTCTCATCTCTACCTGGTCCCTGCTTGTTCATTCCTCAAGACTAATTTCAAACATCTCTTGCCTGGAAAGCCTTTCCTTATTTTGCAAGACTATGAGTTGAATTTATTGTGACTCTGAATGCATTCCCGGTAATGATCTGGTTACCTGCCTCCCTCATTCACTGGACTGTTTAATGAATGGGAAAACTTCACCACAGACCCTCTGTCAGGTCCGGAGACTCTAAATGCTTATGTGCTCCTTGTGGTTTATTCTTTTCTTTTGTTCCATGTTAACGGTCCAGAATGGCCTTGGCTTCCATACCAAAGCTGTCAAATCACCCAAATGTTCTAGACATAGTCATCATGCAGGAACATTCTGTATCAATTAAGAAAACATTAACTGCTGTAACAAACAACTCCAAAATGTATCATGGCTAGATCGAAGTTTATTTCTCCCTCATGTAAAACCCAAAGTGGTTGTTCCTGTTAGCAGGCTCCCCAGGTGATGATCCTTCTGGCTTGGGAGTCTGCCATAGTCAACACATGGCTCCCAAAGTCATTGAGCTCAACTGAATTAGGACGACAGAAGGGGAAAGAGTGTGGAATACTAAATGTGGGAACCTCCCAGGGCCAGGACTGGAGGAGATTCGATGACCTCTGCTTTCATTTCATTGGCTAGATCACATGGCCCTGCCTGACCTCTAGGGAGGCTGAGAAATGTAGCCCCTTGAGAACCGGTTAGCAGTGTCTGCCATCCTATTTACTTCACCACAGTACAGTCTGCAAGATTTTGAAGCACCCAACTTCCTGTGTTCAAAGTCAGGGCAAAGTGTCTCTTCTTAATTCCTTATGGGAGAACATAGCGCAGGAAAATCTGTCACTTTCAGCTTGCTCCACTGGTGGCTGCATCCTGTGATTTTTCTTTTCTGGCAGCCTGAAGAGCCGCAGAAGGACTCTTCTAGATTTATTCGGCATCTTTTACTTGGCTCTCAAAGATTTCCCACCATGCCAGGTGGTGAAGACGAATGGCCAAGTTGGCAAGTTGAGAGTAACTCAGGTAAAGTAACTCACTCTTTCCGCTTTGCTGTCTTCTAGAAGCAGTCTATCACTTGATTTAGTTTTTATTTCAAGTAACAGAGCAAGTGCGAGTTTAGGTGAGAAATTAGTAGCCTCAGAACACTGGGGAGAGATGAAATCATTTGCATGTCTCCGCTTGGGTCAGTGAAGTTTCTTCATCCATCTCTTTTGGTTGTTAAGACCAATTTTCCTCAGGGAAATTGCTCTGAAGGCGGCTTGAAGACCTACTCTACTGATTTGCAAAACAGGCACTTCTTCCAAGACATGGCTGAGAGCACCCCTCCTCTAAGAAACTTGATCTGACAATGTCCCTCTATCCTCAGGACACCCTGACTCCCTGTGCCCTCAGCATGTGGGACCCAAATTATACAGTGTCAACTACTGAATTTGACTTGATTTGTTTTAAAGTAATTTCCTTCTGTGGATATCTACATGTAGTCAACATCTTCTATCTTCCTTCCTCAGGGGCACTTAGTGAAGTGTTTAATTAGAGGCATTATCTTTTATCATGCTGAATCAATTAAATGCCCTTAGGACCCAAACTGGGCTTTTTGTCTACATGCATACTTATATTGCAGAATTATCAGCCTAAAGGCAAGCAGATACATGAGGTCAGTGTGCATTTCCTTTGCCCAGAAGCTCATCCAGCTCATGGTTGCTCTAGTGCCTCTTTATATCTATCCAGTGTTGCAATGTTCTGCATTGACCTCCCTAAATCACCATGATAAACTACAGGAGCTCAGGCCAGATCATTTTTTTTTTGCTTTAAGACACCAGACTCAAACATCTTTTTCACATTCCTCAGCTTTCTTTCCTTACTAGAAATGAAAGAGTTTTCTCTCCATCTCAGGAACTTCTCCTAGACCCATGCATCTCTTTCCTCCCTTGTTCCTGCTCCTTGGACTCCTGACAAGTCTTGGTACCTCTCTTGACACGAGAGGTACATTTTTAATTATCTGACCCTGTGGTTTTAATCAGATCCCATTTCATTCAGTTTGTGCAAAGAAATCTTTGCTTGTGCCAGGCCTTGAGGTACTTCTATGCTTCCTTCTAAAAACATCTTTCACTTGGATCAGCAATTGTTCTGGAACTGATTTTTGTGTATGGTTGCAAGTTAGGCACAAGATTTATCTTTGCTATTTGAAGATCTAATAGATCAAGCCTCACGTATTAAAAAGTCCATTCTTTATCTACTGTTCTGAAATGTTACTTTATCATGAATCAGGTGACCATATATGTGTAAGAATATTTCTGGATCTTTTCTGTTTTGTGGGTCAGCTTCTCTATGCATGTACTAATATCAAGCTGTTTTAAGTATTAACACTTTATAATAGGTCACAATATCTGATAATGTAAGTCCTTTATCTTCCTCATCTTCAAGATTACCTTGGCTATTCTTAGCTTCTTGCATTTCTATATATATTTTAGAATCAACTTGTAAATATCTACAAAATACCTGCTGGGATTTTGATCTCAAATTGATTTGGAAGGAATTTATATCTTTATAACATTGAGTTTCTTAATCCATGAACATGGTATACACACATTTTTTTTAGGCCTTCTTTAATTTCTTTCATTCGTATTTTAAAGTTTTCAGTGTAGAGGTCTTACCAATATTTAAAAAAAAAATTATTTCTGGATATCCAGTTTTTTGAAATGCTACTGTACCATTTTAAAGTTGACTTTGTATGCAGGGACTTTATGAAATTCATTTACTAATCTGAACAGTTTCTCCATAGAAGCTTTTGGATTTTCTGTATATGGTCATGTAGTCTGTGAATAATGAGACTTTCATTTCTTCCTGTTCAATCATTTTTACTTCTTGTTGCATTGGCTACCTGCTCTAGCTTTGTCATGCTCCAAATAGACATTTGTGCAAGAGTAACAAACATGTCTGTAAAACTTTAAGTTCTCTATTGTACATCAAGATTAGCTAGGTGCTGTTACATCCACCCAGAATACCCTCCCTATTTTGATTTTGCTTGGATAAAACTCATGTACCCTTCAGGTCTCAGCTCAAACTCTTCCTTCTCTAGGAAGACTTGGTCCTTCTGAGACTGGGTGTAGGGAGTGGGAATTGCCCATCATCTGAGGTGATAGAGCACAGCCCTTAAGAGACTAGGCTGAAATTGCTTGTTTGTGAGTTTGTCTCCTATGCTGAACTATATATAAGTCCTTCACGGGCAGAGGCTCTACACTGTTTATTGCTATATCACCATCACTTAGTACATTGTGTGGAATATCATAAGCATTGCATATATGTTAGCTTATCATCATCCTTATCTTAATCCTTGTCTTCCTCCTGCTCCTCCTCCTCCTGGATACTAAAGCATGGCTCTCATCAGTATCAGGGTCTATGGAAGTTGTTGAGTTATCCCTCTTCTCCACCAGACCATGATGTCCTCAGGACAAAAATCTTTTATGCTTCTATCCCCAGTGTTTCACACAGTGTCTACCTCTTTTTAGATACCTAACAGAGGTGTGAGAAAGTGAATGAGTAAATGAATTGGTGGATGAGTGGTCCTTGCTATATGAAACTGAGGTCCATACAGAATGACTTGGGTAGCAATTTATGTTACTTGTACTTCAGAATTATAAGCCTAAAGCCTGAGCTCATGAGTTCAGTGTGAATTTTCCTTTGCCCAGAAGCCCCTCTTGATGTCAATTCTCCTCACATTTCTCTCCACCCATCCGGAATTGCAGTGTTCTGGGTGGCTTTCTTAAATCCTCATCTTTTTGTTTTTTTAAGATTTATTTATTTATTTGACATTATTTGACAGCGCACGCGCACAGAAGCAGGCCGAGCGGCAGGCACAGGGACAGGGGAGAAGCAGGCTCCCCGCAGAGCAGGGAGCCTGATGAGGGACTCAATCCCAGGACCCTAGAATCATGACCTGAGCCAAAGACAAACGCTTAACTGACTGAGCCACCCAGGCATCCCTTAAATCTTCATCTTAAACAACAGGAACTCCAGAACACTCAGGCTAGATATTTTTCATGTTCCACGAATCAATACTACTTGTCTTAATTTTAAAAAACCTTTGTCATTCTCCAGAGTTAAAGTTTGCTTTCTATCTTGGGACCTTTCCCTGGACCCACGCATCTCTTCCCTTCCTGGTTCT